GCTGCCTGGTGATGGCATGCATGTGGTGCATAGCGTCCATCAATTTGCCCGCGCTGTTTTCCTTCCTGAGGGAGCATCCCTTGAGGAAGGTGAAGGAGGGTGCGTAGGGGATGTGAGGATCCAATTGGGCATTAAGACAGTCAATGGCATATAGCAGACTGTCGACATAGTTAAATACTTTGAAGTCGGGTCCACAATGATCCTCTATGAGAAAGTAGTGAATGACCAGAAGGACATCGCTGAGGTCCCCAGTGTTGTTATTGCACATTCATGTCGCCACCACTAGCATCAGAATTCCGAGGAGTTTTAAGAAGGACAGTCCAACCATCTCACTTCAGATGCACTGGCTCTGAAACTGTACTCTGCCTAGGCCTCGCTTGCATAGGTGTTTTATATCGGGAGACTTCGCCCTAAGTGGATTTGACAGCTGTCAAAAAAGGACTTCAGCGAAGGGGGAGCGGAGATTTAAGTGTTTTTTTTTTCATGCAGTCAGTGACTGGGCGAGTGCGCGTGGAGTCCGTGCTAAAAATCAGCATTTTTTCCGAGCAATAGAAAGCCTAGCCCTGAGGATTGCTTTTAAATAAACGGTCTTTAAAATGCTAAAACGAAAAGTTATAGCGTATTATAATAACCAGACTCGTTGCGTTGTATATTAACTTTTAAACCGGCAAATATAGCCGTTAGCATTAGAAGTAACTGACTTACTTGCACGATATTAATGAATGCGACTTAGATGCTTCCTCCAAACAACCTTCCTCCATTAATTGGACTACTAATGTTTTATGAACTGTGGATTTTGGTATATGTTTAATTGACTAAAGATACTCAGTGTTTGCATGTAATTTTTTCCGCATTCACGGGCAACGCGAATATTGCAGATTCAGCGGGAAAGTGTGTCTTGAATAGGTTTCGATGAGACAGAAGAACGGAAACCCCATGGGTAATATAGGTAGCATTGGGCAATAGAACAGGAAGGTTACAAATCACTGAGGCACAACTGTAACAGACTTCTTTTTATAGAAGACGGTAAACGCTATCTGGGACCAGTGGTTTATTTGTCCAACGTTTCAAACTCCCCCGCGAGCTCATTGTCAACGAATCAGAGAATGTGAGTCTAGGCACCTATACAGGAAACTCAGTTGAGAGTACGTAGAGACCTGTCGACAAGAAAATAATTCCCACCGACGTGCTGATTTAAATGGTTCGCGCCCAAACATATTCTGAATGGTCGAAAATATGCGAGGCCAAAGTAACTGAATAGAAGACGGTAAAACGTTCTCTGGAACCCTTGGTTTAGTTGTCCGACGTTTCGAACTATCCTGCGAGCTCATCGTCAAGGTGGTCAGCAAGAGGTCCGCTCAAAAGCCGGCATCATGACGTGACTGACATTTCTTGAAATTAAACTGCACGGTTATCAACATTAGACCCCGACTTAAGTAGAAATACATTTCCGAATTTTGATTGTCACTACTGTGTGTAATCCCTGCTATTATAGGCAATGAATACCATAAAGTCTTTACAAACTAGTACACTTATCTGATTCTGTCGTCAGTGATGGATAAGACTGTGGTTACCAAACGTGGGAAAAAACGCGCCTCCACCTTCTTGACCTGGCGAGCAAGCGCTTATCGATTGCGGTTGGTAAGATGCAGATGTCATGGGTAGAACGGTTGACGTCATTTCTTGCTGGCCAATTTTACTTGGACTGCATATCAGTTTTTGTCAACCTGGATTTCGTGTTCGACCATGCTAAGACTGTAAGCCAGAGATGGCCACTATACTCTCCCATGTCCTTCTCGATAGCCACTTCATATAGATATTTATTGGTTTTGGTTTGCCTTGCTAATTCTTGCCTAAAGTATTCTTATTAGGTACACATTTTACAGAACTGGATAATACATGTCACAATTTCTGAATCCCTGAAGTACTAGCAAAAGACAAACTTTTTTCCAACAGCTGTTCGCAGTAAACTCCGATAGATGTTTCCATTTTCCAGATAAGGTGTATAAGCAGTCCCCAAACTGAATCTCTACCACCAGAAGGATCATCAAGAAATGCGTCCCTACTGGGACGTTTAATTTTGAAACCCAAATTATTTGATTTTCGCGTCTAATGTGTTATACCGAACTTAAATATCTACTCTATTTCCCAATGGTTTCCTATCCTAGCGAACCATTAATAGCTAAATAATATAAATAAATTTTACCATCTGGTTCGTCGGATCCCCTTTTCACAAGTTCGATAAAGTCGGAGTTCTCCCTGATCCTGTTCTCCGCTATTATCTGCAATCCCTTGACATCAATACGCAATGCATTAGCCAACTTCAACGCCACGTCGGCGTTTGTGTTCTGTTTTAGACTGACTTCAAAAATGATGCTGACTCGGCTCCATCCCGTTGCTTACAGAAAGGTGCCGAGCGCGTGAA